TTGAAGCAGGCACGTGCTGCTTCTGACTTTCCACTTATAATTGACCCTTGTAATCTTGTGGCACCGATGTGTTGTAGCTTCATTTTATACCGGCTTACAGGGCGGGAGCGGGGGGGCACCACCATTTTAGGCACCACCAAAAATTATACAAACCTGCCGCCTATGCTGGTTGGGTGGACCCAATGTACCCAACCTGGTTGGCATGATCAGCCCACAAGGAGGGAGGGACCTTAGCCAGCTGTTCCTGTTGCAACGAGAAAGGGCTGGGGGCAGTCTGCTCCTTGGATCATCCATGTACATTTTAATTTACATAGCAAGTCTCTTTCCAAAAGGTTAACCAGCAAACAAGGACCGAGGAGGAAAGCATGATGCTTAGACAAAGGACCAACAGAAACAGACAGTGGTGAAGAAATGGAGTGGGGAATAGGAGTATTGCCCACCCCTACTGCAGTTTAAATCTAAGCATATGGAATCTTTAGATGGAGCTGAGGGGGTACCCCGAAGAGGCCTTAAAGGGAAGAGAGAGATCTGCTGGCCAGCAGGAATTTGGGAAGGAGCCAATTTCTCCTTGGCCTCTTTCAATTGTGTTTTAATTTTCTTCTGGGAGTCTTTGAGGCTCCTCACTTGAGATTCAGGCGCCGTTTTCCTGTTTCTTCAGACCAATTGAAATATGCAGCAAACTGACATTGGCCAGAAGCGCACCTCTGAGGTGCACAATCTTGTCAAGGTTGAAACTTTTCCTCTAAGAGAAACTGTAATTTTAAATCATTCCTATCCCTGGTATACCAATTCCATTTCCCCAGAAACTTGCAAGTAACAGGACTAGCATGTGCCTTTTGGAGAGACGACGCTCTCTTTGGACCCGCCGGCCCCCATTTTCCCAGCTTTCCCGGCGAGACAGGGATCACCTTGGACCCTCCGGCCCCCAGTATCCTAGGCTTTTCCTGGCAAGACGGGATCACCTCGGACTCTCTGACCCCCAGGACCTGAATCACTTTCACACGGGTCACTCAGACAGGGAAGGCTTATTTAGGGCATCCACACCTCGCCTACAGCCCCCTTTCAGCAAAGAGCGTTGGCTAGTCTCAGAGAGAATGGTGCCGCATACTCTGTTGCTTCAGGTGAGGTGATCAGATCGCTCAGTGGCTTATCAGACCACCTTCAGGCAGGCACCAGAGACAAGGGAGGAAAGAGGGTGCAAAAAAACAGACCATCCGAAGATGGGAACCAGACCTTCCAAAGACTGAGGATAGGGTCACACACTCCTGGACCCAGGCAGACCCCTCGCCGGTCAAGCCTTGCAGAGCGAGACTGCTTCAGTCAGGGCCCTCTCTTTTGGCCCTACTAGTTGTGTTCACTGGGCTTGCATTAGAGACATCTCTGGTCATGAGCTTGTGGGCTTTGCAGAGAGCTCTGGGCGTCTTCCTGTGACCCTCACTCACACACAGTGGCACACTCAAACAAAGTCCTAAACAGCCACCCACGTGGATCTTCCCGGGGAAACCAGAAGGGCGTCAGGCGTGTCTGGCAGCAAAAGGTCCGGATCCAGCATGCAACTCTCCCAAACCCATAGCTTACAGGCAATCCTCCACCAAAACCCAAACAGAGATTTAAAAGGTCTCTTACCTTTCAGATGGGCGCCCTGGGTTCAGTGGGGAAGAGTCCACAGTCCTCTGGTCCAGTGGTATGCTGTGGATCCAAGTCACAGCACCAAGAATTGTTGTGGAAAAATTAACCACACTTTGTGTTTGGATCAGAACAGCCTGACACCCACTTTATTATAAGCATGCAGGGGATGACAGCCAAGCTGCCAACTCCCCCTCTCCCGAAAGGGAATACAGAAGCGTATATAGCTCAAAACCACAATCAATTACACACACACTTCCTTATTAGTATTTTCCTTATTAGGAATACAGCAAAAACAAGCTTTTCCTGTTATTCACAGTTTGTACTCTTGCAGTTACTAAGTTCCCTAACACTAGCAATCACAGGTATATTTCATAAGACTGGCTATTACAAATTGTTCTGCTTCAATTTTCCATTCTCTCTCTCCTCCTGCCCCTTGTACACATTTTTTTAAACCAAAGTTATCTTGGACAAAGGTTGGGCCTACTCAATTTTCTCCCTACAGTACTTTGGAGGAGTTTTAACCTAAGCTAGTAGAATATAAGCTTAGGGGGTCCTTCATGCGGCTCCCCACCTTCTGCACTCAAAGTGCCAAAGTGGGGAATTTTAGTCTTGACAAAGGGTTAAAGTGGAAATTCTCTATTCTGCATGTCTGTTCTATTACCGGTTTCAGAGTAGCAGCCGTGTTAGTCTGTATCCGCAAAAAGAACAGGAGTACTTGTGGCACCTTAGAGACTAACAAATTTATTAGAGCATAAGCTTTCGTGGACTACAGCCCACTTCTTCGGATGCATATAGAA